TGCTCATGGTCTGGTAGTAATGCTAATGTTCTGTCCACACAAAGAACCCATCAGAGTCTACTACTGGAAGCATCTTCACCTGCTACACCTTGACCTCAGCAGAATGGTCATAGCAGGTAGAAACAGCACCAGGGTCTGGTGATTGGCACCTGGGCTGCCAGGCTACTACATCCAGTAACTTGACTTATAAAAAGGTCTGTCCTAGAAAATAGACTTAAAATGGAGAAACTCATCATTGCATGCACTGAAATCAATCAAATGGTAAGAGGTCATGTCAGAAAAGCAACTGTATGGTGAGGGCCACAACAGCCAAGCCTGCCCTAAGCCTGTTGGAAGTTTGGGGAAACATTCCCAGGTCTCTGTGCTTATCAAATGTAATTATTATTTTCCTATCATTGTTCATTTAGTTCCTACTAACTGTTTTGGTATAAATAGATGAAAGACTTTGTAGGAAGATCAGCAGGTGTTAGAAGCTGTCCCCTGCTGTCAAGTGTGGGCTCATAACAGGATGCTGTAATTCAATGGCTTGAATAGAATGGCAGAAACTCCTTCTCATCCTTTTAGAAAACACAACCAGGACTCTAAGCAAATGGCTCTACCCCATATCCCCCTGCCATTGCAAAGAAGCCCGGATGTGCACAGTTGGATTTTCAGAATAGCAGGAAGTTGATCTCCATTCTCTCTGAGTTTACCACTTACTCTTTCCACAGGAGTCTCTAGGAGAACTAGATAGGCCCTGTCCACGATTTAAACAAAGCTGACTTCTCTTTTTGTCCAGTCAGTCGAGATCCTGGGAAATCATATACAGTGAGCATCTCAGCACTCAATGGGATTAAACATGTTCAGTTTTGTTTTATAAGTAATGGCAGAAATGGGCACCCTGAAGGGAAAACAACTTGAGGTTCATTGGGAAACCCAAACACTAAGGGCAAACGGACATCTAGACACGATACAGATCCTCAGTAAATACTGGAGCTGAATGGGTGAAATGGAGAAATAGGGTGAACAAGGCTCATTCATCTCATTTAGAATTGGAATTTTCTTTCATGGTGTAGAGATGTGTTGGTTAGTTTTTTTTGTCAGCTTGCTAGAGTCATCTGAGAAGAGGGAACCTTAACTAAGAAAACATCCCTGGCTGAGAAACACTTTAGGAGATGTTCAACATCATTAACCATCAGGGAAATGCAAATCAAAATGATTCTGAGATCCTGTCTTACATTTGTTAGGATGGCTAAGATCAAAAACACAAATGACAGGTCATGCTGGAGAGGATGTAAGTAAGGGGAAGACGACGCCATTGCTGGTGCAAACTTGTATAGCAACTGTGGAAGTCATTGTGGTGGTTTATCAGAAAACTGGGAATCGACCTAACTCAAGACTCACCTATTCCACTCTTGGGCATCTACCCAAAGGATGCTTAATCATACCACAAGGACTATGTTCATAGCTTTATTGTAATATCCATAACCTTTAGCTAACCTAAAAATCCCTCAACTGAGGAGTAGATAAAAAAAATGATATATTTATACAATGGATTGTTACTAGCTGTTAAAAACCAAGACAACAGGAAATTTGAAGGCAAATGGATGGAACTAGAAAACATCATTCTGAGTGAGGTACCAGACAAAGAAAGACAAATATGGTATGTACTCACTGACTAATAGATAGTAGATGTAAAATAAAGGATAATTATGCTACAATCCAGAGACCCAGAGATATTAGGTAATAGGAGGGTTCATGGGGGGGGGCTCCTGGATCTCCCTGGGAAGGAGAAATAGAAAAGATTTCCTGAGTAGAGGGAATGGGAACATGAGTGATCAGGTTGAGGGATAGCAGGGGAGAATACTGAAAGAGACTACTGGAAAGGTAAGGCATTTTGGGGGTCAGGTTAAAAACCTGGCAAAAGGAATCTACAAGGATGGCCCCAGCTAAGACTCCTAGCAATGGCAGATATGCATCCTGAACTGGCCAAGCCTAGCCCAATTGTCATCAGAGAGGTTTCAACTGGCAACTGATAGAAACAGATGCAGAGCCACAGCCAAACATTAGGAGAGTTTGGGAAGTTTTGCAGAAGAGAAGAAGAAAAGATTGCAGGAGCCAGAGGGGACAAGGACACCATAAGAAAAAACACAGAAATGACTAACCTGAGCTTAAAGGGGCTCACAGACTGATCCAACAACCAGGGAGCTTTCATGGTACTGACCTAGGCACTCTGCACATATGTCATAGTTGTGTAGCTTGGTCTTCTTGTGGGGCTCCTAACTGTTGGAAACAGGGGCTTTCTGCAACTGCTTACTGGTTTTTGGGACACCATTGCTCATACTGGGTCATCTTGACCAGCTTTAATAGATGGGGAGGTGCTTAGTCTTACTGCAACTTCATATGCTGTGTTTTGTTGATACTCATAGGAGACCTGCCTTTGCCTAAACAGAAATGGAGGAGTGGATTAGACTGTGGGAATAAAGGGGTGGGGTAGAGACTGGGAGGAGAAGAGGGAAGGGAAACTGAGGCTGGGATGTAAAATAAATAAATAAACAAATTTGTTAGGAAAAAACCAAACAAACAAACGAAAATGTCCATGGCACTTTGGCCTAGGTGCAAGTCTGTGACACATTACCTTCATTGATTTCTGATGTGGGCTACTATGGACAGTGCTACCCCTGGGCAGGTAGTCCTGATTTGTGTAAGAAAGCAAGCTGAGCAAGCCAGGAAGAGCAAGCCAGTAATCAGCGTGAACTCTGCTCCAGTTCCTATCTTGAGTTTTCTTACCCTGCTTCCCCTTCACGATGGACTCCAATAAACCCTTTCCTCCCCAAATTGCTTTTGATTGTGGTGGTTTATCACAGCAGTATAAAGCAAACTTAGACAAGTGGGGAGGAGTCAGAGTATCATTTCAGGATTGATGAAGAGGGCACAGTGCAATTTTGTGCCCCAGTGGAATCCCTGCTGGGAGCTCAGCAAGGTGCCAATGCTGGAAATACTATAAAAAGAAAGAGTGACTCTGTACAACTGGAAATGAAATCACTTCAAGGAGAAGCAGTTCTTAGAGGATGGGGCTGGGGAGGGGCACACGTTGGTGTGTGTGTGGGAGAGGATGCACCCAAACAGGCTTGGAAATGGAATGCATAAGTAGCTGAGAAAGTACAAAACCATAACTGCAAAGAGGAGTTTTTATTCATTTGCTCTCACAAGACATAAATAAATAAATTAATAAATAAATAAGTAAATAAACAAAGACAATCACTACAAGAAACATACATGGTCATTATGTAGCAATAGTACATTTGTGGCATGATGGATCCTGTCTGGTCATAGCTGCCACCTTAGGTTCACTCAGGTTCTCCATCAGGCTGATGAGACAGTTATTCTGCATGGCTTCCTTTGCATCCATTTGTATGGCTATTATGGCACTCTGGATTTTATGTTCTTTAGACATAAACTATACTTCCTCTCAAATTCCCAGAGCTCCTTTTCTTCTTTTTATGAGTGTTGGAGGTGGGGACTGCAAAGGAGGTAACCAGCTAATTCTCCCCATACCCTTTCTCCTCCCTTTTCTTCTTGAGGTAGTATACCAGGTAGTCCAGGCTGGCCTTGAACTTGTTATGCAGATGAGGATGATGTTGAACTTCTGAATTTTCTGCCTCTATTTCCCCAGTGCTAGGATTAAGGTGTGTACCATCATGCATGCTTAGTTTATATAGTGCTGAGGACCAAACCAGGGCTTTGTGAATGCCAGACAAGCAGTCTACCATCTGAGCTATATTCCCCCAAACCTGGATTTTAAAATCCTTTTAAATGTAGGTACCCAAAGTCTAATAGAAGCACAGGTGGTCCTTGTTTCTTATCAATACCACTACTAGGAAGTGGCCATTGATGTTGGAACCAGCACTAATTTCTTCAGAGTCCCTTCATAACGTTTCCATGTCTCCAGGTAACCCCGGTGTCCTCACTGGTCACAAATACACAACACTACTTGTGTCAGAATATTATGTTCTTATTGGTTGTCACAAAAGCCAATGCACCAGTGCAGCCTTGGATGAAAAAGTTGTTGAAAAAGATAACAAGTTCACACTTTGCATAATAGGGCCTGTCCCTGTGGGTTAGCCCATGAGGACATGAAATATTCAATACATCTTGGTATATAAATGTTAAATACAGAAATAAATTAATAAATACATAAATTACTTAAATATTTAAATAATACAAGGCCAAGTAGAGTGTTAAAATATCTATACATAAATTAGCTCATTGTCTCAGTGGGCATTTAACATTTAAATGTAGAAATACAGCAAAGGTATCGTTATGAATCTAAAAAGCTGGAAAAAGCCAACCAAGTAGAAAATAGCTTTGAGGGTCTCTTCCATCAAAAGTTTAAACTTTTCTTTCTTCATGTCTTCCATTTTCTTCCTCTTTCACAGTTGCATCCTGGGACTGGACCCTGTAAAGGAATGTGGGTAAGCATGCATACTCAGAACTATAGCCTTTTATTTCTCAGCACGCATTCTCCTCAGCCATTGATCTTGGAGTTTCCATGTGAGAAGGCACAGCCCTTCCTTACAGGGCTAAGAATTTAGATACTCTCATGCTTGCCAGGGACTCTCTTGAGAGATTTTTCTTAAAAGGACATATGATTGGGCCATTTCCTTATTAAAATCACTTCAGTGGTCTGGAACCCCTAGGACACGGTTCTACCTTCTGTCCACTCCCAAGTCCTCCTGACGTTGACTCCTGGTTTCCTCACAGTCTGGACTCCCTTGTATTTCTCTACACAAGGATAGGGTCTATGCCTGTTTTCTTTATTGCAATGTCAGTGGGCCCCAGGACAGTGCCTGAAGAACTAACATGGGCATCAAATTAATATCTGGCAATGAACAAATGTGTTTCAGGTATCCCTATGCTAGGAACTCCATCCCCTTTCCTCACAAGCTTCCTCCCCATTGCTGTCCTCCATCAGGACCACTGAATGTGCAGGTGTGGCTGGGATTCATGGCCCTGCTCACCTAACTGCAGGGCACCGATACCCATTTGCTCCATGATGAATTGTAGTAGTGATCTTGAGCTCGCACACAGACCTCCGCATCTTTGTGGCATCGGATTTTGGCAGAGGTCTTGTCTACAAATAAGGGCTCATTTTTCTGAAAAGGAGAGGAAACGTAAGGGCTTTAGGCAAGACAAGGCAGGCTGGCATGTTCCTGCAGCACATGACCTCCTTAAACATAGTGTTGTCTTAGGATGCTGTCCTTGCACCACCTGCTGGCAGAAGCTGTAAACACAGGCATGTGTGGGACTCCCATCCTGCCCCCATGCCAGGGTTATAGGCATTACACTCAGCTTTTACATAGTTTCTGGGAGTTAGAATCCAGGGAAGCACTTAACTGACTCATGCATCTTCCCGGGCCTTACTTTTCTATTTAGTAAACTCCAATAGAAATGACTTGCTCCACCTTCTGTCTCTCCAAATAGCAGCCTTGTCTAAGGCTCCATGGGCAATGACTTCAGAATGAGGCTAATAATGGTGGGGCCAACCTTTCTTAGCTGTCCTCTGGCTGTCCAGAAATACCCTCTCCTGTGCCTGTCAGTTTACAAGTGTGACTTCAAATCCTGGCAGTGCTACTAAACAGCTGTGGTGCTTCAGGAATACGTCTTTGGCTCTCTGTAGCTCTCCTTATTTATGAACGGGGCCCATTATAATGACTGCCTCTAAGAATTGCAGCAGGTTAATGCGTCATTTATGTAGAAATGCCTAGAAAGCTTCTAACAAGTAGAAAGCACTCAACATTAAACAGTTCAAATCCCTTTTGAAATCACCTCATTTTCTGCTCCTGCTTTTAGAGAGTGATTGAATCTCTGAGCTGGATTGTCACCACATTCTAAATGCTACTTGGGAAAAAAGCCTTTGATTTGTGGCCTTACAGGCTCTGTAAAACTGTCCCCAAAACCTTGTAAGTTATCACTGTGTTAAGGACCAGAGGGCTGGAAAGTCATGTTAGCCTGTATAAGTGCAGGCACCTTGCTTAGTGAAATAACTGCCCTGCATATTAGACAAATAGGAAGTACCCATACTGGATGAGACACAGAACCAGTGTTCTAGCATTTATTATATTCTCTCAGCTGACATAATCATTTTAGGCTCCTAGAACCCAGGTCTCCATATCATTGACAGTTTTAGTTGAGGATTGATCCTCAACTGTCCTGGAGGAATTGGGGTGGTTGGGGTCACAAACTTTGCGTCCAGCAGACTGATATGGGGTATTGGTTCTGTCACTGCTCCAACTGGATGAACCAGGACAAGTCATAGCCTCTCTGAGCTTCACTGTCCTCTGTTGAGAGGTGACAGTAATACTTGCTGCCTTTGGGTCTTCATGTGGGTTGTGTGTGATACACACCGAGAGTACAGTTCTAGTCCCGTAACAAGTGCCTGGTTGTTAGGATCATCACGTTGTCCCCAACGCAGGCTGCATAAATCCAACCTGTGCACACCCCACCTGCACTCCATCTTACCTTTTCTCTCTTGCAATGGACCTGAACATGGAACTTGAGGGAGAAGTAGGAATGGGGAGTGCTCCAGGAGTCAGGATACTCCCAGGATAATTCCACATGAGAGCCCCTCAAAGGCTTCAGCTTCAGGTTTTTGGGTGGGTCCGGTTTGACTGCAGAAGAGGAAAAACATCTTTTATTATCCTGCCGGGCTTTGGAGCCTGGGTTTAGCCTTCTGATCTTGGAGGATGGCTACTTCCACCTTTGAGTCTCTACAGCGTCTCCACTTCTCTGATCAGCTGGGAAGCACCTGTGAGGCACCTCTGCTGAGGATGAAGGTCATTGGCCACATCCTGTTTTTGAACATTTTCTTCCCTGCACAGACTGGCAGGCCCTGATAGTTGAGTTGTTCTGGTTAATAAAGACTTGTACCTGGGCTCTACAGTGGGCTTGCCCTCCCCTCTTTGCACTAAGTATGTAGTGACCCAAGACTCATAGTCTATCAGGTGTCATTACTGGGTTATGTCTGAGGATACAGCAAGCATCATGATCTTGAGGTGGCACTTTATTCTAGATGGAGAGACATCTCTGGAGTATGCTCCAGTTTAGGAAGCCTAGCTCCATTCCGCACAATGGCTGTATTTTTCCTGATAGATTCTTCACAATTATCTTTCATAGTTTTGTCAATACTATGGATAGTAATAATGTAAAAACCATACAACCAACATCTTTGCTTTAGGCCTCTGTCAAATGTCATCTCCTCAGAGGTACCATCCTGGCCATCCCTTGTGAACAAGACCCACCCCTACCAACTACAGAGTTTCTGCAAATTCTGCATCAAGTTCAGGATTACCATTTCATGAATATGTGGTAAAGGAAACAAGAAATGGCAAACTCTCTGTCTGTCCATTTAGAAGTAGCTGTCCAAGGGAATTTATAGCTATACACATATATGTGGATGCTAAAGAAAAACGAGTTATGAAAACTGCAATGGGTAGGGAAGTCCTGGTCACAGTGTAGATAACCCAGTGACTCTCATATTCATCATTCTATCTACCTGGGTAGCAGATTAGACATGTCACAAAATGCCTGCTACATGAGGGAGATCAGGGTCTGGGCTGCCAGTAGTGAGACTGGAGATCTGAGGAAAGGTGGCTTAATCTTTCAGTTTCCTTCTCTGCAAAATGCAGACAACAGTGTCTATATCATCCTTTCAGGAGGTGCAGAATGAAAGAGACTGCAGGTTAATCCTATACCCCATGTGGCAAACAGCATCTTTCTTCCCAGGCACGTGCTCCCACACAAAACTCACTGATGTCCCTGATGAAGAAGCCGGTGCTGTAGTTCTCGTATTTATACTTGTGCTGTGCTTCCATCACCAGCTCAATGGGCAAGGTCTCCTCAGCAGATGGGCAGGTGATGTCCTCCTGGCAGGCCACCGAGTACTTCTTATAGTCCCTTCGGTCCACTGTGACCTTTTCTGCAGACAGAGATGCTGCTCCACATGTCACTGCCCGGGAATCAGAGGAGCTGATGGCCAAGACAGAAATTGTTCTGTTATAGATCAGAGAGCAAGTGCCAGTCTGTGTAGCTGGTTAGATTTATCCTCTGGGGTTAAAAACAACCCCCCCCCAAACTAGCCCTTTCCAGAAGAGACTAAAACTTACATCTTTGGCCTAAATGAACCTTTGTTTCAATGCAAGAGAGCCTACTTAAACCCCCTTATTGAAAATCTAATTTTCCTCTATTTCATTCATAAGATCAATAGGCACTAATTATAAAGAATTAAAATGACAAAGATGGGCCAGGCAGTGGTGGTGCACACCTTTAATCCCAGCACTGGGGAGGCAGAGGGAGGTGGATCTTTGTGAGTTCGAGGCCAGCATGGTCTATAGAGCTAGTTGCAGGACAAGCTTCAAAGCTACACAGAGAAATCCTATCTCAAAAAACAAACAAACAAACAACAACAAAACAAAACAAAATGACAATATAAAGAAAATATACATGCCTCTGCCATACCCATTTTAACTCAAATCTGAGTCCCAGATATAAATATTACAGCTTTCTAGAGTTTTTCAAAGAATATTCAAGATAACCATACACACACACACACACACACATATGCACACACACACACACACACATATATATACATATATATATATTTATCTGTATTTTAGCATGACTTTTAAAAAAATAGAAAACTATATACACATGATTTTGTAACCATCTTATTTTTTTCCTCTCTGACAGTATTGTGGGGGGTTCTCTAAGCAGAACATATAAGTTGGGTTATTCTTTTCAATAAATGCATATTAATGCTCCATTTGAGCATTCTTTTGCTAATTATGCAAAATATCCCAGAGTCCCTTATCCATGTACAGTGTCTTCATGAACCTGTACAATAATTTCTCTAGAAAAAAATGTATTTGCATGTCTAATGTTTGTTTGTTTTGTTTTTAAGCACATAGAGGTCTGGCATGTCACTATATGGTAGGTACCCTGCAATATATTTGGGTCTACTTAGGGGCCACTTTTACCAGCTCAGAAAATTCTCACATGAGCCGCAAAGACTCTGATGTCACCCTGAACCATTATTTTCCATAGTTATGTCTAAGTCATAGCAAATTCATTAAAGGTAGGGAAGTGAGTCTCCAATTTACTTATTTAAACTGTAGTAGAGCCAGGGTGTTTACTCCACACAGTACAGGGAGATAGCTGAAGTCATTGGCAGCACAGTCTGACACACCAGCTCTGCAGCCCAGAAGGAACGGTTTCTTAGAGAAAGCCCAAAAGTGCTGGACAAACTGAACTTCAGAATAGTGGTACTGGGGGGCAGGGCAGAGAGAAGTTGAAAAGGCTCCAGGAAGATTTCAGAAGGTCTCAGAAGCTTCTGGAATCTGCTTCAGGATTTCTGAGAGCGAGGTCCTAGAGCACTTGTTTCTGTTTTTGGCACAAGGTAGAATTTTGGCAAGTTATTTGTAGCTATGAGTTCTTTTTAATATCTCCCCATGGCGCGTGAGCCTTAATGAAATGCTGCCAGGCAATTTGGATGAGTGAATTCAAACTCACCTGACAACTATTCTCAGAAGGCCAGCTTAAAGCTCCACTTTACTTCCTTAGGCAAACGGAGAGAAAGTGAAAAGAAAATATAGAATCGCCTTTGCTGTCCAGTATTGTTCACCGACAATCCACAGTCTGTCCTCAGTTTCTTTGTGAACTAAGTCTAGCAAAGTGTGAGGGACCAGAGCCACTCCCTTACCTACTGCTGCTCTTGATGCTGAACTTCAAATCAGTGCTGATTGCTGTCAGCCACCAGCAGGTGAACCGTCCGGAGTAATTTGCTGCCTCACATTTCAGGAAGGTCTTATTTTTAGGATCTGCATGGCGGCGGGGGGGACAAAAACAAAAACAAAAACACCTCAATATATAGGAGTTTTCTTTTAGTCAAGAAAGATTAGGGTTTAATTTTTTTTTTAATTGTGAATGAATCACAGACCACTAAATGGTACAAGGGTGGTTTTTGTTTTTGAAACAAGGTCTCATTTAGCTTGGACTGACAATCTAGAAGGATCTAGAACTCCTTATCCTCCTCTAAAGTGCTGACAATAGGTATAAACCACACCATTCAGCCAGATGTAGTTGGTTTTTTTTTTTTTTTTTTTCTTTTTGTGGCGCTGAGGATTGAACACAGGGTCTTGCACATGCTGGGCAAGCATTCTACCACTACACTACGAGACACTCCTGGTATTCTTCCATCAACTTCATTGGAAAAAGCTGCTCTGCTGGCACATATTTCAGCACAGACTGGTAATATCTGGATAGGGTGTGCCTTCTGTAAAGTGTGATATACTGCACACACTTTGCATCCATTGGACAGAAATACTCATTTTTTTTCCAAGTTGTCACTCCAGTACTGAGTTATCAACTGAGCACACTGGCTAACTTTTAACAGATAACCAATAATATTACTGTTGCTCAAAGAAAACTTGAGAACTTGCATTGAGAAAGACAACTAAACTTTCTCAGTATAAGATATTAATGGCCAAGAGCCCAAGAATTCCAGGAAAGCCAAGGGAAATGGGAATTCTAGGGTTTATGGTTACCTGCACTATGTCCTGCCTTTTCATCTTTTAATGTTTTTATTTCTTGGGAGGGGCAAATGGGCTCTGAAGAGAGTGAAGCTGGCAAAGTTGCTCTGCAAGCATAAGGACCCAAGTTCAGTTCCTAGTTAGGGAAGAATGCCAGGAGTGATGTCATGTATTTGTACTCTCAGAGATGGGAAGGCAGAGACAGGAAGTTCTCTGGGTGTCACTGGCCAGCCAGTCCAGTTTATTGGTGAGCTGTGGGCCAATGATTGTTATTTTTCAAGAGAGATGGGAAGCATTTCCGAGGGTAATGCCCAAAGTCTTTCTTTGGCTTTGACACACATATGTGCCTGTACACATATACACACATGGGTACACACATGTACACACACACACTCTCTCTCTCTCTCTCTCTCTCTCACACACACACACACACACACACACACACACACACACTCTACTTTTTTTTTTTTAATGAGGAGAGGTAGAAGGAAAGATACTATCCCAGGGAATGGAATTACCTTTCTGGTCCTTTAAAATATCAGTGGACCAAATTCCATTTTCCCTCTTGTGAAGCAGCAGTCTCGAGTGACTCAGAGTCTCGCCTCCTCTGTGGCAGGTGTATTGGCCAGCATCTGAAAACTCTTTGACTTGGATGGTCAGGGTTTTCCCAGAGCCTACAACTTCACTGCTCTTGTCTGAGGTCCAGATGATATTATCTTCTTCAGGAGTGTCACAGGTGAGGACCACTCTTTCTCCAGGGGCACCAGGGGACCAGTCCACCTCTACAACATAAACTGGAGAGGACCATCAGTGAAGACCTGAATGGTCAGCTTCATGAACTCTGGAACTAGGTTCCATTCACTGTCTTGGCAACCTCACTGCCTGGGCACATCATTGCTCACAAGAGTTTTGTAAATGTTTGCTGAGATGGTCTTAGGGCATGGAGCCCTGTCTGGTCTCAAAGTCATAGAACAGAGAAACAAATTTAAGGCTGATACTAAGTCATTAACTGGCAGATGGCCTACAACAATTAATCTCTGATTAGCAGGCACATGAGGAAAACCTTAAAACATAAAGTTGGAAACACCACAAGATTCATGGTTAGAGGTTGGGGAATGAAGGTACAGTGGGGTGGGGAATAAACTTCCAGTTGCAATTCACAGGGAATATGGCCAGGTATAGTGCTGAGCAGAGTAACACAGTGACTTAAAGTGTAGGTATGGAGAAAGACACACCAGGAAAGCTGTATCCTCTAATTGGATTTTGGGTAAGGTACTGAATCACAAGGAGACTTGGAATCCTTGCAAGATGATGGGAACAATAGTGCCTATGCATGTAGATTTGGCTGTGAGGAGAGATGGGGGAAAAAGTGTGCACTTAAGCACAGTAACTACAACATAACTCTGTACTAGTTTCATCATCATCATCATTATCATCATCATCATCACCACCACCACTACCACTATCATCTGCTGACCAAACAGTCAGGCAAATGCACTGAAAAACTCTTAAAAATTATCCAGGAAGATTGAAGGTGTTAGTTCCTTCTGCATGAACCTCATCAGTGGAGACTGTCATTAGCTTTGGAGCCTGTCCTGGAACTTGCTCTGTAGACCGGACTGGCCTCAAACTCATAGAGATCAGCCTGCGTCTGCCTCCTGAGTGCTGGGATTAAAGGTGTGCACCACTACCTCCCCAACATTAGTTGCCTTTTTTTAAAGAGCTAATTTATAACAGTATGGGTAAATAGATGATCGTTTACTCACTTTTTGAAGGAAGGTGCTGACACCAAAGAGCTAAGCAAGGTCCCATCAGGTGTGGAGTGTAACAAAAGCTATATATCAGATCTTTTGTCTCCTGTGCTATGCAATGGGTTTCTAATGCCATTTTCTAAATGAGCCCCCAGGAATGGCTCCATAAGGTATTTTGGAGAGTGCCAGATCAAAGCTTCATCCATCTGGTTATCCACATATCTCTTATTGATTGAAAGAGTAGCTTAATGCAGTGGTTCTCAAAGCTCCCAACTTATGGCATCAGCATCACCAGGAAACTCATCCACAATCCGTGTTCTTGGTTGCTGAGTCAGAAGTGTTGGGATGGCCATAGTGGCCCAATTGGTAAGTCTAGATTATCTTGGTGTCTGATTAAATATGGAATCCACAGTGGTGAGGAGCTGGGGATTTGGAATGGTGCAGCCATGGATCAGATCCAGCCAAAGGCCTTAAGAAAGCCTTGGGTGTGGGAAGGGACTTTAAGCTTAGTGTTATCATCTTACTTTAGAGAATTTCACTTAGAAGCCCAGGCTGACCTCAAACTTGGATCAGTCTTCTTGCCTTGACCTACTAAGTTCAGGGATTATAGGCATGAATCACCATGCCTGGCTATGATGTCATTATTTTTAAAATGAAAGTAAAATATTAGTGCTTTCTTTAGAAGGTGACATATAAACTAATTGGTATGCAAGCTTAAGACAGCACCCTTAAGTGCCTTGTGAATGGTGGCTTTGTGATTGCCATTCACACATAAAGCATTGTGAAATGCAAAGCTTTTGCTTCACATCGGTGGGATTTGTAGCCTCTGAATGGGAAGCTAAGATAAGAGGTAAAAATCACTTGAGGCCAGACTCTGGAAATCATTAGCCTGCTATGACACCAAACCACAGGAACCTTTGGCTTTCTCCAGTTTCTCTTTGTCCTCCAGGCAAGTGAGCAGCACTGAAGCTTACTTTCCTGTTAGAAGTGGGACCCAGAAATACTAGAAAACCTTGGCCTAAGGGCAGAAAAAGAACTTTCTGGGGATGTTGGAAGCAGAGACCAGGCATCTGCTGGGCTGCAGGCTTACACTGTGACCCCATCACAAGCCTTCTCTGTGTGTCTCACCATTGATTTTCTGAAACTTCTGTGGTTTACCAGTCAGATGTGATGATGATGAAGGAGTTAGCTCTGCCAGGGCCTCAGTTTCTTCTTAAGAACTCAAAAATACCCAGGTTGTAGATCTGGCCATGGCAATGGCTTCACTTAGGAAAGGGTCCAAAATTCTATTGGGATGGGTGGCCAGATTTCTTGAAATTATTACTTTTAAAACAGCATTTAATTTTTTGCCGCATGCATGTGTGTGTGTGTGTGTGTGTGTGTGTGTGTGTGTGTGTGTGTACATGTGCCATAGCTCATGTCTGGAGATCAGAGGGCAGTTTGGAGAGAATGGCCCTATCCTTCTACCATGTAGATCATAGTGATCAAGTTTAGGTTGTCAGACTTGGCAGCAAGCACCCTTACCTGATAAGTCATTTTCTAGCTCCTGCGACTCTTCAGAATGAAAACATTGACCTCAGTTTTTTAAGGTGCCAATTTTGGTATTGTACTGTCTGGGTTCTCAAAATATTATCTCTAAACATCAGCCAAGAAATCTTTTCATTTTTAATTTATGCTCATTTCCTCTTTATGGGCCCAGGAAAGAGTTGCTTCTTACCCTCTTTGGAAAATCTTCTAGCACTTAAACATATAGGCTCTGAAGTGAGACTAAATTGGGATCAAGTCCTGTACCACCCTTCGTGGGCAAGTTACTTAATCTTTTGAGCTTAAGTTTTCAAAATCTGTAAAATGGAATACCAATAGCTCCTAATTTATATGGTTACTGTGAAATTAAATGAGGTTCTATGTTCAATAAATATTAAATATTACTATAGTACATGCAGTGGTTTGAAAGAAAATGACCCCCAAAGGGAGTGGTACAATTAGGAGGTGTGGCTTTGTTGGAGGAAATGTTTTGCTGTGGGAGTGAGCTTTTAGGTCTCCTTTGCTTAAGCTATATTCAGTGTGGTAGACAGTTTTCTTCCTTTTGCCTATGGATCAAGATGTAGGACTCTCAGCTACTTCTCTAGCACCATGTTTGCCTGCACGCTGCCATGGCCATGTCTCACCATGGTTATAATGGACTGAACCGCTGAACTGTAAATAAGCCACCCCAGTGGAATGTTTTCCTTTATAAGAGTTGCTGTGGTCATAGTGTCTCTTCACAACAATAGAAACCATAACTAAGACAGTACAGCTATAAAAGCAGAAATTTTTATGGTCTCTCTCTTTCTCTCTCTCTCTCTCCTCTCGTCTATTCCTCCCTTGACTCAGTCTTCCCACAAGTAAACACTGAGCTTAACTGGAATCCAGATGCAGAGAGGGAGGACAAGACCAGGCTACAGAAACACACAGAGACAGCTGACCTGAACAAGGAGGAGCTAATGGGCCCCCAGACTGATAGCTGGGAATCCAGCATTAGACTGACTCAGACCCCCTTGAACATGGGTCTCAGTTAAAAGACCTGGGAAGTCTAAGGGACCTCTGACAGTGGAACCAGGATGTATCCCTGGTGCACAAAAGGACTTTGGGAGCACATTCCCCATGGAGGGATACTCCCTTAACCTAGAGGCAGGAGGGAGGGGCCTAGACCCTACTCCAAATGACTTGACAGATTTAGATGACCTCTCCTGGAAGGCATCACCCTACATATGGAGTGGGGAGGGGGAATGGGATGGGAGGGTGGGGGGGACATAGGAGGATGGGAGAGAGGAAGAGAGGGAGGGGGAACTGGGATCGATACGTAAAATAAGAAAAATAAAAAAAATTAAAAAAGTAAGTGCAGAAATTACCAACATTATTACATTGGACTTATGAAACATTTGAGATTCTTTTATGCACATCATAGGACTGAGCTGATGGACATTTGCTAAGTGTAAAACAGTACAAGGACATTCCTTGCTATCCCAACACTATTACTCTGATAATAATCTTATTGATATTGGGACAATGAAAATTCAGAGACTTTGTTTTAATCAATAGGGCTTGCTAATATTTATGTTCATTTTACTGATTCATTAATGTATTCAATAGCCCAAGTGGTCAATGCCAAAACAGAGGCCATGAGATGATCCAGCTCAAGGTTTCAGAATCAATCCCTGGCAGAACCATGTTTTGAACCCAAATTAATGCTGATCCCAAAGTGGTGAGAGGAAAACGATCAGAGCACCCACTGAGAGGATGATGGAGTGTGGAGGAGCAGGGGAAGGCAAAAGACAACCTTGCTAGTTTTAAAATTCTCTACTAGAGATTTTCAGTTGTTTGAAAGAGTCGCTTTCTAGTATTACAGGCAAAGGTCATATCCACTATGCCATCACAGTCCACCCAGAAGCTCTTTTCCTATCGTCCAACATGAAATCCAAACAAGGCAGAGACCAACCCCAGAGAAGGAAGAAGGGAGGATAGCCCTGCACCTTCCCCAAGGAAAGGCTTTCCTGAGGAGACCCCGTGTGCGGCTGTCCCCTTCGGTCTCCTTTCCCAGCAGCTACCTTGAGCTCAGGCTTAGAACCTGGAGCTCTGTAGAAAATAAGGCAAAATTGCTTACCATCTTTCTCCAGCTCCCATATGGCCATGAGCGGAGACGCCAGCAGAACCACAGCAAACCAGGAGATGGTCAGCTTCTGGTGACACATCTGAGTGGAGAAGCAGGAGGAAGAGAAGGAGGAAAGGGAAGGAAGAAGTGGGGAAATGGGACAGAGAGTGTCAACCGTTGTCCAGTTAACCAAGCCCACACTTCCCCTGCCTTCTGACTATTGCCTTTCCTCTTTCTTTTCCACACTGGCAGCCTAGTAGGATTATAGGAGGTCCATTCTATCTCTGGGGGAAAACATCTCCAAAATGGCGAACCATAGGCTACCAGGAACTGAAAGAATCCCAGGGCCCAGACATCTGATACTACTTTGTTTTTAAAACAAGCTAATGTATGTGTGCATTAGCACATGTGGAGGTCAGAGGACAACTTTTGGGAGTTGACTCTTTCCTTGCACTATGGGTTCAGGGCTCACACTCAGGTAGGTCATCAGCCTTGTGCAGCAAGACATTTTACTTGCTCACTTTGTCAACTCCCTTCTCCCTTCCTTCTTTTTTTGAGACACACTCTTAGCTCTGGCTGTCCTGAAACTCATTCTGTAAGGTTGGCCTTAAACCCATAGAGATCCCTCTGCCTCTGCCTCCTGAGTGCTGGGATTAAAGATGTGCATCATCTCACCTGGTCCAGAAACATAAGCTTAGAGATGGAACATGGCTTCCTGGACCCAATTCAGCACTTACTTAGTTCTGACTGTAGTATTAATATAACACCCAAAGAGCATTGAACAGAGTGAGAAAAAGTCTTCACATACACACTGCTTTCCAGAACCAATACTGCTGCGCTACAAATACTTAATCAGACAGTTTGAGCTCTGTCTCCCCTCTCCTTGAGAAGCTGTATCATTCATTGCCCAGTGTTTAGAATGCACTGGGATGCCCTAGGCTAAAAGATCAGGTTAGGTGTGGGAAAAGAAATGCACTGGTAAACTTTCAAGTTTTGGCAAGAATCTGTAGTGGCTTAGGCTTCTAAAACCTAGGCAGAAATCACTCCAAATTCTAAAATAGCTCTCACCCTCATAACAAAACTCAGCATTTCATAAGCTTGAGTGTATGGTATAACCCAGACTTACTAAGACTACTGAGTTTCAACCCAGAATATATGATTTAACATGTCTTGAAGGTTTCAGAAGCTGAGGCTTCTGGTCCATGGAACACATTATAAAGCAAACGTGTCAGTCAGTGTTTAAGGTCCAGAACTCCTACAAATCAAGGTGTTTTTCTGGCAGAAGACCACCATGAAATATTGAAGGAGATAAATCAGCCACCACCTTGTATTGAAACCCAGTCTAGATTAACACCCAGTGTTAGCAGAAGTCTTTCAACTGTGAAGTTTATACCTCACTCATTAATGTGGTTGAGGTAATTAGTGTCTAATTAATTCCCTTTGGAAACACCTCCCTCTATCTTGGAGAATGTTACCATCTGGCAGGGACAAGTTTTGAGAGACCTCAGGTTTAATCCATATGAATTAAGGCTTAAATATTCCAAACAAATAGCTTAAAAATGAGCATGTACTGGTTCGAGATCATGGTTTTGTCAGAACTACTGCTAACCTTTGTGGACCTTGCTATGTTCTCTCTTTCCTTACAGATATCATCAATGACAGAGACAGGGCCAGACACCAGGCCTTGTCCAGGTCCAGGTTATCATACAGACAAACATTAGCTGAAATGGGCACTGGTTGGTACATGCACAGGCTTGGGAGTCAGGCAGATGAGGACTTGGATTTTGGCCCTACTACTCAGTAGCTGTGTGGTGTCAGTCTTGTTCCTCTGAGCCCTACTCTCTTTACCTAGAAAAGGATATAGTAAAGGGTTATGTGGCCTTAAAGGGCTGTGAGGTGTGCGGTGAGATGGTATAGTATAACAGGCAACTGATGGCTTGTTATCTTGTACCAGCAGAAGAACTAGGGGGATATTTGAAATCCATTTTGCTTTGAATACAGAGGGTTTAAAAATAAAAATCGGCTAGGCTATAGAGAGATGCCCAGGGAAGGTGGTGCAATTATACATGGCTATAAAACCCAGATGGCAGCACTCTGGGAATGGAAAAAAAAAAAGCAGAGATTCCTGGCATCTCCTGGTGATCTCTTCATATGCTTTCAGCACAGGGATTTTCCCCTTTGGCTACATGCCAAGCATTTCGTCTGTGGGCCTCAAATGCATTTGAGCATCACACGTGAAGCATATTTCAGGTTGAAAGGAGTCCTGGCAATGGTCCAAGGAATAGTCTCCATCCCAGCATTACCTACATCTTAGATCATAGAATACCAGCAGAGGAGAGAGATGGTGCTGAGTCACCTGTTAAGCAAACCCACACAAGTAAAAGGGGTTCAGGATGGTGACTGAGGTTTGTCTTTCTGTCTGAGCAGCAAACACCGGGCCACTTTATCCCTTTCACTCCACAATTCTTCCACATGGTAAGTTTTTGATGATTCAGTGGTTTTTGTTTGTTTGTTTTAACCTGATTTCATTGGTTTTCTAAACTCTTGAAATTTTTGTACAAAGGACGCAGGAACCTTGGGTTAGACAGTCCAGCTTCCTAGAGTATGCAAATGCTCCTAAGCACTGCTGCCAACCTGGGCACAGGACACCTGAGTGGACATTCCCTTTTGCAAGTTTCATTCTGTCATTGTTTTTTTTTTTTTTTAATTCAAAGAGACATAGCATTTAAAAGTAAGAATGCTCAGAAACAAAAACAAACAAACAATACACAATACAGATGGCCTGAGTGGCATGGGCAAAGGGCCGTGGTTCCAGAGTCAGGCAGACCTCTCTTTGATCCTTCTTAGTTATGTGACCCTGACAAGTTGTACCTTATACAAGTTAAACCTTATACTCCTAGACTGTAAAATAGGAACCCTATCAGGATAGGAGTTTATGAAACAATCCATAGAAAGTATCAGCTTGATCCCCAAATGAAACCAGGACCCCAAATACCTAGTCTTCTGCTTACTTACTGCTATGGCAATAATTTGGTTAAATCTTAATAACTATTCCCCCCCATACTGAGGCCTGATGGCAGAATTCACGTCTGTCTTGCCTTCTACCCAGAGCCTAGTCTAAAGGGAGTCCATGGATAATTGGTGCAATAATCACAACATTTCAGATTTTAGCAGAACAAGCCTTGGAGGCAACCTAACCACATCTTGAAACACTGCTTGAACACACTCAGCCACCAGCTGAGACATAGTGGTCGGTGTGTAAAAATGTGATGTCAATCTGACCCCTCTGGTGACCCTGGCTTTACCTGGGCAAGCAGAAGAAATCAGCTCGTGAAGATGGGTTTTGTCCCTTTTCTCCCAGCTTTTTAGAACCCTTTAGAAAGGAGTTTTGAACATGGCTGAGGCTTTTCTGTTTCGAAGAGGTGGTGAAGTTAGTCAAAACCCCACAAGAACCACAGAACCTAGCCAGTCAGTTTGACTTTCACAGCTGACTCTCTAACCCAAGAGAGGGAGGGAAGCAAGTGTGACATTCAGTTATGAGTCTAGTAACTGTAAGGAGTGCAGGAAAGGCTTTAAAAAGTTTTCTCTAGAAAGGCAAGAACAGAACTTAACTATACTCTGTAAGAGACGGGAATTAGCACTTAAGAACGAACACATGTGTGGATGTGTCTATATAGACAAAGCAGACCTGTCTATCAGATACACATCTGTTTACAAGGTTTAACACACATTAATAGTTCAATAGTTCATTTTTTTGAGACAGTGTCTCAAACTCATCATATAGGTAAAGCTGGCCTTAAACCCCCAAATTTGTTCATTCTGCCTCCACCTCCCAAATTTTGGGGTTACTGGAGTGAACCATCCCCTCTGTAATTAGCTAACTGTTTAAATGAACATTTGAAACCTTTTCCCACAAAGTATCTAGTTTTCACCAGCAGGCAAGCCAGCAGTGATGTTTTCCACACCCTCTTACTCCCACTCCCATGCTGCCTGGTTCAGGGGTAGCATAGTCACTGGAGTCTGTACCTCCATAGCCCTTAGGCTCAGAGAATTAGTGGCAGAGAACAGGGGAGAACTCACCTTGCTTGGCTAGAGACTGCCTGGTCTGTGTGCCTCGACCACTGTTCCTTCTGCAGCTGCTGTTGCTCCTAGAGCTTTATATACTCTACTCCTACAGAACTTTCTGATGGAAACCCAAACTAGAAACTGACTAGTCCCAGTTGCAACACTGAAAACTAGTGTCAAAACATTTTGGGGAATTTTAAGAAGTTCTCTCCGCCCCCCCCCACCTCTGTGTGCATCCATCACACAGAGGGAATATAGACATTGAAATCCCAGGTAAGAGGAAATGAATTTTGGGTGTGGAAAAAGGAAGGAGACAAATGCTAATTTCTGTTTACATCATGCCCAAGGTGAATAGAGGCAGAGATGGCCAACCTCCCCAGCTTTCCACAGACTGGGGAAAAGAAGGTCATGTCCCTCAACTGAGTTCATGATTAATAGCACAGTCAAACGATGAGGTGCTGCGGGTCCAAAGAATAGTCTACAATTCCGAAGTCAAGGTAGATGAGATGACTGGCAAAGAGCCTAGTATGTCTGGGCCAGCTTTCCCTATTAACGTCTGCGTTCAGAAGCTATTGGCACCTGTTTGGCTCGATGCACACACACCCCTCCACCTCTGTTATCTGTATTTAGACGCAACCCTGGGGAGGTGGACAAATAATAAGATTCACTGTGTATTGAGGCATCTTCTATGCTCATAGGTCCTTACTTATTGACCGATGATAACAGGAGCTGAAGAAACCACAGGCAAACTTACAGATGACTGATGCCATACTCAAAAGTCTCCTTTTTGGATACCAAGACTATATAATTTCATTAATTACATGCCTGTGGTCCTAGAAACCCTGTGCAATTTCTCTTCTTGAAGAATTTAAAATTGCAAAGAGGCTTCCTCATTTGTGCTCAAAACCCTGGTTCTTGGGTATCTAGTTCACAGACAGATGTGGACCGCTCTCAAAGATGCCGATAGAGGGCGCCTCGGCGAAGACATCTTCGCAGTTGGGACGCACTAAGCTGCTTCTCCATTCCTGTCCCAGG